AAACCCAGAGTTAACCCTGAAGTTACCTCGCTAACTTCACATCCTGCTTCGTAGTACAGGTGATTCAGGTGATTCAAATGTTACAAATCAATCAGTGTTTCTCTGACACTGTTTGGCACGTTGGAGACAGGGGACTAGCGTAGCACCTGCTTATGTGTGTTCACCTTTTTTCTCTGATAACTTAAGATCCAGTCATTCAGGAGGTTTTTAACTAGGAGCTGAATTCTCCACAGAGGTCTCTACCTCTCCAAAACAAATGAACCAGGTGATTAAAACAGGTACAAACACAGAATTGAGCAGTTTCACATTAAAAAATCTGTGTTTTTCCAATGCTCTCATTATGGAGTGACTGCTAACTATTGGGGCTGACGCAAAAACCTGAGCTATCTAGAGCCTGTGTTTGGTTTATCCGTTCTGGGCTACTGTAGAAACATGGCGGCAATCCCCGTAGAGGAGAAGTCGCTCCCTATGTAGTTATAAACAGCTCATTCTACGGTAATGAAAACACAACAATTATGATTTTCAGGTGATTATATACTAAAGAAAATATATTATATTCCATTTCTGCCAATATATCCCCTAAATCCTCCACACTAGACCTGTAACTAATAATCTTTAATCTGCTATGCTAAATATCGTTATATTTAAACTATTTTTGTCACATTTTTGCTAAATTTAATTCTAAAAGTGAATTTCCAAATGTACATTTCCATCCTCTTCTTGTTTTATTCCTCTGTTGTATCATAACTAGCAGAAATACAGAGAAAAAAATCAAGATGGACGAACAACCGAAGAGCATGGAAAACTCACATTTGGTACCAAACTCACTTAAACACACTTAAATCCTGACATCCCTCACTAAAACTACAACACGCCTTAAAAATATATAGATCCAGGCATATAATGTGGAATAACACTGCATCTTGTTACCGTACTGTATAGCAGATATAATGGCTTATAAGATACAAAACATAAGCTTCAAGATCAATAAAGTATGGTACATGATCCTAGTGTCTCCTTCCTGCCTACAACACCTCTTAAATCTGACAATGGCTTTGTTCTGTTCATCCGTCTCAATCTGTAAACATGAGAAAGTTAAATACATCAACATATATGGAAGACACTGCAGAACCAACCTCCTTTTAGTTGTCTAGTTTCATTACAACTGACCAGAAGTGACAGGCAAATACTTTTCTATCATACTTTTGTTTCTGGCAGACTAAAACTAGACTCCTTCGGTTATTGCAAGATGCACAGAAAATGCTTAAAAACTTGTAGTTTCCCTTCGGCTCCGTTTCTCTGGAGAAAAACGATGAAGCTCCATTAGTGGTTTCTGTAGTTGGCGAACAACAACACCTAATAGGAAAACTGTTAGCCCTCATGTACAGTAAGCTGGAGGGGGTGGGGGGTGGGGGATTCTCAGGCTAGCACTGACACTTTCAGTTAACACCCAGGACGGGGAGAGGAGGAACAAAGAAGGAAACAACAACAGAAACTAAAGAAGTGGTGGTCCTTTCCAGACTGTGTTATTATGTAACCAGATATACTGCAACCCAACCGCCAGATATAAATGTTTGTATTGTCTGTCTTTGTAAACCACGGACAAGTTACATCCATACATTATTTTGTAGTGGATATGTTGAAACTTTTCTCAACAACACTGTGGTGAAGGTGTGATCAGGTTTTGACAAAAGGTTACGAAAGGATCGTGTTTTAGCTAAAAACGCCCACATTTGGTTGCAAAAAAAGCTGCTTGAACAGCAGTGATGTGTCGGTTAAAAACACCCCAGGTTCCATGTCTCACACGCCGCTGGGAAACACCAAGATGTGTGGGTGAGAAACATCAGGGTTTAGTGGCTTAAGCGTTGGGGGAATGCCATGAAGGATTGCCAAAAAACAACCACTGCTGTTGGGTTCGAACAGTGGTCTCCAGCTATTAGGCATCTTGCTTAGATCGGTGGTTCCCAACTGGTCCAGCCCAGGGTCCAGATTCTTCCTTAGTCATTAGTTCAAGGTCCACACAGTTTAATATATTCAGCGTCATACTTGTGTTTGGCCATGTTGTCAAGTAAGTTTGCTGTCTCTGTCAAGTAGCTGTCTGTTCTCTCACTCATTTTACGGCAGGAAACAGTGCTGGAAATTCACTGTACTTCAAAATAAAGTGTGTTTTTTTTAACAAATTTGACATGTTCATTCAGAATGGACCTGCAACCCACTTTTGGACTGCGACCCACCAGTTGGGAACCACTGGCATTGATGACAAGCCATCCACCATCCCCTCCACCTCCTGATGGCAAAAATCAGCAAATATACATCATATCCAGAGTTTCCCACTCATTTATTTGTTTCGGGCCGCCACGATCAAAATATCTGCCGCCAGGTTTTGATTTTCTATTTCTGTAGCTGGACCATTCATTAGGAACACTTTTGGAATATGTATACCGTTCAGATATTCAGAGCTCTACATTTGTGCAGCACAGAGCAAACTCTGGGCACAGACAGAACAGCAGAACTAGTGAAAGTGAAACTTAACCGTTCATTGCCCTATTCCTCTGCAGCAGCTGGGCCTCTTATCCATCAATCTGACCTGCTCAGCTCTGATTGGATCAACTGATCAATTATCCACCATGCTACTCAGAGGTCCACAAGCTGCTGAGGAAAAACACTGAACTTGTGAAGAGTTCTGCTTGTCTGCGATCATGGACCTGCACAAATCTCAGAGTTTAGAGCCCAGCAAGCAATAGTCGTGATTTAAACGTATTGGCTATATTTAGCTCCGATTTAGTCTAGTGTTGCACGGTATACCGGTACTAAAATAGTACCGCGGTACTAGAGTATTCCAGACGGTACTATACTGCATTTGGAAAATACCGGTACTTTGAAATTGATTCAATTCATTAATTTAGTTAATTTATTTTACTCATTTATGCACACAAACACCTTCCTTGTTCCTATTGGAGCACAGATTGCGCAAGTGGTGTGTATGACAACACCTGTATCAACATTCGCAGCTGGCGCACGTGAAAAAAGACAAGAGAAAGTCTGCCTCGCAAAGGGAGACAACACGAGACAACACAAACTTGGTGGAACATTTGAGTTACCAAACCTTGACGTCCGTACTGAGGTACTTACCGAACCATAATTTTTTTGGTACTGTTACACCCCTACTATTTATTGTTCTAAAGGTTTTTATCCAAAAGAACTTTTCCTTAGGAAAAGTACCGAAGAGTATCGAAAAGTATTGAAATTCATATTGGTATTGGTACCGAAACATGACAACACTAATTTAGTCTAGCTACATGTAACCCAAATGAAAAAAACTGATTAAATGTAATTTTCGTCATTGCAGATGGCGTGCGGTATGATATTCAATTACGTATGGAGAGCCAACAGTAATTAAAATATGTTTATCTCCATTCTGGTCTAACTATGGTTAGATGTCCACCAAATTTTCACTGACAGCCCAAATTCAGCCGTGATTTAGCCTAGACGTCAGGTCTTCATGTAAACGGCTATTAGACATTTTTTAAACCAAAAAATGCTTGCTGGGAGAGGGGACACGGGATGATATGCCCCCAAACACCCACCCACCTGTCGTCGTCGTCGTCAGCTACTGCCACACAGACTGTAATTCAGTGGGAAACACTGACATTACTTTAGAAATGCTTATATGATACATATGAAACGTGTGAATGTAATGGATTTGTGGTTTGCAGAAACGTATAATACAAACATTTTCTTCTGGTCACTGGGCTGATACCGGAGGCAAACTGTAAAGACCAAGCTACAACAGACCAGGGATGGGCAATTTAAATCATTTCCATAATCGAGTACTCACATTAAATTATTATCAGATACTAACAGGTAAAAATCTAACCAAAATGAAAATGCAATTAGATTTTAGGGTTAGCCTTCCTTTCTGCGTTGCACAGACTGTAGAGATTTGTCATGATACACAAGTTTAATGTTTCATAGCACTGCACATTCATATCATTAACTTTGTCGATATACTTCCAAACATCACTCTTATGCCCGGTCGGCGGTCGCTGAAGAGATGTCTTACTGAAAATGCTGAACGTTATCTGCAGCTGAGCAGATCTATCATATTTGCTCTATGGATCTTTGCAAACATTCAAAGACAACAGTTACATCACTGCATCCCGTCCAAAATAAAACATAAACTTTTAATATAGAACAAGGTCAATTTATGCTGTGATTACTCTTTATGTTGAGTACTGACGTCCAAGTCGAGCACTCATGCCCATCCCTACAACCAACTGCATATGTCCCCAGCCAATCAGCCTGAGAAGAGGATTTTCGTGGCTATTCCATCCCATCTTGGCTATTGACTTAAAGACCTTATCTAAGGTGTTTTACAAAGGCAAATTATCTTTCATGGGTTTGGAAGTTCGTCATACTAGAACCACTAGACGACAGGTTGGCCCACTCAGTTTTTACTTGTGAGGCATTTGTAGGCTTCAGAATAAGCTGAACTTTGATTTTAAGTTTCTTTGAGATCATGTAACTTTAAATTTTTGTTGGTGTCATTTGTGAATAAAAGCAGTTGACGCAAGAACACGAAATGTTGTAATGCTGTAATTTATAGGTCCATAATTAAAATAACTTCCTAATATTTCCCCACTAAATTTCCTAAATGATTTATGTAATTTGGTGCTAACTGTAGGCAAAATAAAGACTGTGTTCAATTCCAATTTTTTAAATTTCTTATTACTAATTCTAATTAATTGCTGGTGTAACCTAGAGAGGTTTTTTAGTAGATCTGAACATGTGAAAAATGTGAACAAGCAAGTGTACAATTAAACATATATATTTCATATTTACTTGGTTTCATTTTTTTGTTCAAGGACATTTCTATAATTACTATGATTATAATTAAATTACACCGTTACATCCGAAAAACTTCCTTTGAAATGAATGGAAATTATTCTGTAAGTTATTTTTGTTTTACCACATGGTGCAAAACGATTGTTCTACGGTAGCTTTTTTGAGGGGGGGCTATGGATTTTATATTCTTTTCCTGATTAATTGATAATCATAAATCAATCACTGACATGGCTTATGGGAATTGCTCATCCCTAGCACCTACACAAGAAGTCAACACAAGACTTGGCTGCCTGGGGACCCTTCTGTAGTCACACTTCCCGAGATGCATGGTCACACGTGTCCCTGACCACCTTCAAAAGTTGCTAATGAGATGCATCAGTCCAGGTGCATTCACACCTAAATTTAGACACACTTCAGTACCGCATGTGATTTGGCCTTGTGTGAAACAAAATGAGGTTCTACAAGAGTTATGTTCCACTTTCCTGCTGATCTAACACTGTTTCATGCTGCTGTCGGCAGCTCTCCATGGGTTTGGTCCAAGGATTCGTCGCCCACACAAAGTCTCTGTCACTGGGCTCAGTTTATAGGTCACTCCCATGGACATCTGAGTCTGGAATCTGGCAGCAGTGAGCATGTACAGTAATGTGTGTCCTTGTGCTGTATCAAAATCCATCGCCTGAATTTAGCCCCCAACAACAGGGCATGTGCTCGTGTGTGAATGTCAGTAGGTTTTCTATATGTGTGAGTGTGTCTTTAGGGTGCAGCTGAGGTCAGACCTGGGTGCTGTAGGGGCGTGGCGGGGGAGGAAACACGTCCGGGGGACTGTAGTAGCTCAGAGCGGAGGAGCCCTGCGGGTTGCCAGACAGCGGGAGAGGGTTCTCGTAGTAGGTGTGGAAGCCCAGACGCTCCCCTCCGTTACGCATGTCGTCAGTGAGTCCAGAGCGGAGGGAGTACGGTGAGCAGGTGGGGCAGTGGTTGTGGTGAGAACCCGTGTCCAGCTGATCCAGAGAGACGGGGGTGATAGCCGCGCCGTCCATGGCGAGGGCGTTGCAAGCGTTGCAGGGAAAGTGAGAGAGAGGGTCTGCTCCCACCACAGAGCCCATGTCCACTTCAGAATCATTCTTCTTACAGCAGTAATACTGTGGAGGACACACAAGGAAGGAAGTGAGGCTGTGCCAGAAGTCCCAACTACTGCTAGTAAACCACATCCTTATAAATATAAGACCTAACTAGAATCATATAAGGTTCTTCAGCTTGCCCCCATAAGAGAAACCTTTTTGGTTCCTGGTAGAGCCTATTTAAAGGTTTAAAGATCTACCAAGAACCCAACATTGGACCTTGAACCATCTCTAAAAGGTTCCACCCAGAACCCCCTGTCAGAGGTTAAACAGAGAGCCCGTCTGTGGTATAATGGCTGCACCCAAAACCCTGGGGGGGGGGGGGGGGGGGGTTCTACTGTGAAACCAATCATATTCCAAGGGTTTCTTCTAGAAGGTCTTCAAGAAGGTCCTGGTCTGGTTATTTTGGTGCACACCCATGTGCGATTGCTGTGTTCACACCTGCCCACATGAACCGCACCTAGGGGGCAAACAAACTTGAGTTTGATTGAACTGAACCAAACAGGGCAGGTGTGAAAGCATCCTACAAGTAGTAACTGACTACATTACCCATAGAGCACTCTCCTACTAATCATGGTTCTAGTTTGACAGGTTACCCTGGGGCCAGGAGAACTACGTCTAGAATCCTTAGGCTTCATGAGGCTCCACAAGGGCCACGGCTGATGTGGTCCAGCCTAACCCAGAGCACTCATGGTTCAAAGTCACATTTTTAGGGGGTGGAGATTTTGTGAAGTCACTACAACTACAGTCTTTACTATTTCAAGGCTGCAGCAGGGTTGGAAACCGAAACTCATGTACAAATTAAACCGAATACAAAATGCCAAGTAGGGAGACCATGTGGTAATGTATGGCATCGTCTAATGTTCAAGATATCAACTATGGCAGAACATAAGTCAAGTGAATTCACAAAGGAGATTTTAGATACATCTAGATTTTAAAATGCCATTTGAAACAGGCGTCAACATTTGAACACCTGTACTTGAAGAGACTCTCATCCAAAAAGGTTTTTTTGGATTAAAGGGTTTCTTATGAAGAACCCTTGAATAACCCTTTCTTCAAAAAACAAAAGGGTTCTTCAGAAGTAAACGGTCCTGGGTAGAGTCCATCTCAAGGCAATTGAATCGAACGCAACTGGACTTGGTTTTGTCTTAAAAGACGTTTCAGCCCTTATCCAAGAGGCTTCATCAGTTCATGCTTGTCTGACTAGGCTGGAACTAGTCTGACAAACTGGTGTGGAAACAACTGTTATAGTACAGTTTTTTTTATCATCCTCTTTCTTCCAATGACTGAAGCACACACACATCCACACACACACACACACACACACACAAAGTGACACAGTGGTACCTGGAGTCTACAGTAACAGAGCACTGCTACAATGCACAGCAGTATCACTCCGGCGAGAATTCCTCCGGATATAACAATAGTTCCCGCTGACATTCGACCAGCTCTCCATCAAACCCTTCAGAGGGAGACACAGAGAAATGAAAGCAAGAGAAAGAGATGGAAGTTTGAAGACAGAGAACAAGAGTGACGACAACAGAGAAATTATCTCATTAGACATCTTGATTGCAGTAGTGCTGATAGAGATTAAACTAAAATTGACTTGAAAATATTCAGCGTACTTACGTCCAACAAAGGTTTCTATAATGCCTGCAAAAATAACCAATGTAGGCTGAATTAGTATATTCGTATAACATCATGATGTAACCTCAACTGATGAAACATGTTGTAAGTAGTTGGTTATCATGCAGCTGTTATCAGACAGCTGGGGATGTTTCAGGCCTCACTGATACAGATAGATGATAGAGTAAGGAAAAACTGGCTTGACAGCTTGACACCTTGACAGAGATGCTACAAGTCTCTGTAACTCTGCAGGAGACATAAACACCACTTGTTCCTAATTTTGAGTTATGATTTATTTACTGATTACATAACATGTTAAAGTGAAAACACTTCTTTCCAACATGGTTAGAAGATGTTAAAGGACAAAACACAAGATATACAACATAAAAACATCAAAATGGTGTTCAGATGGGTTCACATTATTTTCATTCCCGTCCAGTCACTGAGCCCTCATCCTCTGTGAGGGAGCATTTGCACTTGTTCTGTTTATCCTCATATTCACTTACTTTTTGAGAGCGAGATGAGCTTGATACCACTCTTTGAGCGCTAAACCGCATTCACAACATATTCAGACCATTTTTCTGGGTGACAAAGCCAGAAAACCTGTTCACATCAGATCCAAGTTGCAAATCAGAGTCTGAGATATCACGAAGTTCTGACAGCTACGACAGCTGGTTAAAAGAGTTGCAAGTGTCAACAAAGTGTTAACCCTGTATTAACACTAATACAATTAATTTAGTTAATATATGGCACCTATAAAGAGAGTTAAAGGGAAACTTAATTGATTTTCAACCAGCTCCATGTCATCCCAGTGTTGGCAGTGTATGCAGGTGAATGTGGCTACCAAGTGCCACTGGCGCCTTGGCCTCCCCACACAATTGCCGGCAGAGGTCCACTGGGCATACTTCAATGACTTTGCATATTCCTGCAGACTTTTGCCAGCAGATGGGCGGGGGACTCCGGCCACTCACCGTGTTTCATTTCTGTATATTAACAAATGAAATTAAGTTACAGAGGTGCTGTTAGGTGTATTTTAGCCGTTACCCCATGCTGCAGTCTTTATGCTAAGTAAAGGGACAGTTCATCCAAAAATCAAGTTGCAGAGTGTTGGAGATATCAGATAGATGTCGTAAAGATGTCTGCCTTCTTATAAAGGAACTGGATGGCACTCAGAATGTAGGGCTCAAAGCCCCCAAACAATACAATTGAAAAACTCAACAGCAGTGTGTCTTTCCACAAATCATGACCCAGTTATTCAAAATAATCCACAGATCTTGTTGTGAGCACTTTCATATAGGAACTATTTTCTTGCTACTGACCTACACCCACCAACTGTATCACCGTGCAGAAGGAAGCGTGCATGTACTGCTAGCTCACCTAGCACCGCTGAGCTAGCTGATGTTACAGCTCAGCTGACAAGGATGCCATTAATGCTTACATCTCATGCTGCAACTAGCCTCTCATCCATGAGTAGATGCACGTTTCCTTTTGTGCAGTGATACAGTTGGCTGGTGTAGTTCAGTAGAAAGAAAATAGTTCCTACATGAAACTGCTCAAAACGACAAGGTCTGTGGATTATTTCGAGTAACTGGGTCATGATTTCTAGAGACATTGCTGTTGAGTTTTTAAAAGTATTGTTTTGGCGCTTTGAGCACCACAAGCACCACAACTCCATTATACTAAAGAGAAGGCAGACATCTCTAAAATATCTATCTGATATCTCCAACAGTTGATTTTGGGGTGACCTGTCTCTTTAACTTGCATTAAGACTGGCAGCTGGGGGTTACGGCTAAAATACACCTAACAACACCTCTAAAACGTACTAATACACATTGTTGTTTGAGCAGTTTCATGTAGGAACTATTTTCTTTCTACCAAACTGCTCACAACAAGGTCTATGGATTATCTTGAGTAACAGGGTCATGATTTCTGGAAGGAGACATTGCTGTGGAGTTTTTCAAATGTATTTTTTTGGCGCTTTGAGCACCACAAGGTAAGTGACATCTAACTCAATTATGTTCGAGAGAAGGCAGACATCTCTACAGCCGATATCTCCAGCACTTGACAACTCACAATCTAGATTGATAAATAGCACTACAGGTAAGAGGAAAATATGTGTTTTGAACTGTCCCTTTAAACTAACTGCCCCTCAGCCACAATTGTGTACTACACACAGACATGAGAGTGGCATCGATCTTCTCATCTGACTCTCAGAGACATAACAAACAAGTCTATTTCCTAAAATATTGAACTGAAACTCTCCTGTGGACCCTTGTGGCTAAAAATGTGTTGCCTTTTAAGCTAATAGAAGAGATGGACACTTACATTAGAGGACAGCGGGAGATGCAGAGATGGAGGAGTGTGAGAAGGTAGGAAACCATGACAGGGCTGTGGATGGTTACTCTCAAAACCTCCTCGCACTGGAACTCCTGCAGCAAAGAAAGAAGCATCTGTCAAGAGTTCATGGAAGAAATACAGGGTTACAGCTGATGATTACTGTCATATACCTTATTCATTCCTTCTAAAGTCATAGGTATAGAAAAACAGTACTATCTGCTTTCATGTTGCATTACAAGCAGACAAAATAGTTTCATTTGTTCAGTCTTGCTTTTCTTTGTATTTCAGCTCATGAAAAGGAATTGCTTATCCTCTGAGATGTCGAAAATAATGAATAGTGACGGGTACAAGTCGCTAGAGCTTTAAGTGATGTACCTCAAAATTGTTTATTGAGTTCAACCACAGTCCAGAAACTCCCAGGTATTCAATTTACAATGATATGAGACGCAGAAAAGCAGCAAATTCTCACAGTTGAGAAGCTGGAGCACTGAACAAATATGTTAACACAACAATTCTGTTTTTGCTCCAATTTTTCCCCAAGATGTTCTTTCTATGCACAAAAAAAGGTTTATTTCTCTCACATTTTGAGCACAAATTTGTTAAGATCTTTGTTAGTTAGCTCTTCTCCTTTTCCAAGATAATCCATCCACCTCAGAGGTGTGGCGTATCAAGACACTGATTAAACAGCATCATTACTACACAGGTGTGCCTTGGGACGTTCACAATAAAAGACCATCTAAAATGTGCAGTAAAACAATGCCACAGATTTCACATGTTTTGAGGGAGACATGTATTGGCATGCTGACTGCAGGAATGTCCACCAGAGCTGTTGCCCGTGAATTTAATGCTGATGGGCAACAGACACACCCACCCAGGCCCCCTCCTGGCCATTAGAGACAATGCAGGTTTAAGGGACTTTGGCATTGACTTCACTTTCTAACAACAGTCCTACGTCAGGTTACATCCACTTATTTTATACAGTCCATGGTTGCAGCACTAGTGTATATAAAGTAAATCATCCGCTGTTTCATACGACAGGGAATCTGGACCCACAATAAGATCCATGAATAAAGGTATCCGTTTTACATAACTAGACACACGACAGGAATCTTAAAAGCTGCGATTGTTAGTTGTGACTGAGATCCAACAGAACCACTTTGGTTGGCAAACAGACACTGAGGATGAAGATTAGCATGCTGAATGCAGCAGCACCGACTACGCACACAGGCCATATGGCCATTATGTTATATGCATATGTGAAGTACTGCTTCAGCATACTAAATCTGATTCGTAGGTGCATCTCCTGTCGTTTCTGGTTCACTGTGACCGATTCAAAAGCACCTCTCAAAGCTGCATGGATTAATGTGATCTCCTGGATGTGATACTGATACACAAATACATCAATCAAAACATACATACTGATGAGAGCATATAAGACACCTTGAAGACATAGTTTAGTGAAGAAAATATATAGATGCATGCACAAACACTTGCTGGCAAATTACAGCCAAGTGTTGGGATTTCTAAATTCCTCAAGCATTTGCTCTGCATTGCAGGTAAATAATCTTAAACAAATAGCTCTGATTGGCAGAGTCACAGAGGAGCAAAAATGGTGCAAATGAAGAACTCAAGATGCTGCACACATAATTACTTTCCCTGCACACAGCAAACGTTCTGTCCTGCCTCAAACAGACCTTATAAACAAGTCTATCTGACACAAAGCAATAAATTAGCTGCGTGATAGAATGTGTGTACAAATAATGCCTTGATTTATTTTTACTGGCGTTCACATTAAAACGCCAAATAAACACACAATCCAGAAATGAACGCGCTGAGACAGAATTACTTTTCATATCAGTATATGAAATGCAGGATTTTGACATTAATTTAGACCCAATTTGTATGGTTGAGTTCAGGCAGAATTATTCATTTTAAGCACTGCCATTATAGTAATTACAACACTAGACGACTTTGTTTATCTACTGTTCGAGCTGATTAACTAAAACATCCAGATATTTCTCAACGGAAGAACAACATTTCATTATCCCAATTAAATTGATTAAAAAAATGACGAGCTTCCTTCTCATTACTGGTGTATCAATGTAATTTCCTAAAAGCTATGAGCATCCCAAGGCCGTAATTTGCAGCGAGTTTTAGTCTTATTGCCTAATGAAATGGTTTAAACATGCGGGCACTTGTGGGATTGTCGTGACTCAGCCAGAGGGTTCAAACAAATGCTGGTTTAGGGTCGTTCTGGTCTGCTGCCTGACTGTTGAGTTCGCCACCTTTCCTACAGCCAAAACCAGGCACAGATTTATTTCCTGTGTGCCTCTTTTGCTTTTCAGCTGTCTAAATGTAAACTGATTATGTGGTGTGTCCCTGAAAAAGTGTAGTAGGATAAGAGTTCGGCTCATAAATCAACATTTAACACTGAACGCACATGGATCTCTGACTAATTTAACAGTCACAGAGAGAGATGTGTGTGTGTTGAAATGAGCATGTGAGCCTCCCTCTCAGACAGCTCACTCGGTGCAGTATCTTCCATTGCGTCATAGTACTAAATTATATACACCACGGGCCACGATAATGTCGTTAAAGGCGATGTGAAGCCTCTCTTGCTCCCCGTTTCTCTGTCTCTTCCCTCTCTAGCTTGCTATCTTATGTCTCTTCAGTCCTCCTATTGCTTCCTACTCTCTCTGTCACCCATTCACTCTTTTAGCCATATCCTCCTCTACATCGTCCCCCTCCTGGTCTATCATTTTAAATTCCCTCGGCTTTCATGGCATGACAGGACTGCTGAAGCTACTATAGCAAATTTATGCAGAGACGGTGATGTATATCAACACAGACAAAGCAATGGAATCTCCCCAGAACAAAAAAATAAGTCATTTTGACTAACATGCAGCCAAATTATGCTAGAAAGGGAGCGTTGAGGTAAAGCCTCAGATTAGAGAGTTTCCAACAGACTTGAGAGACAAAGACGCCATGTGACAGAGGTTGGGAGACTCGACTCTAATGCTGTCAGAGTATCTTAACCAGTGCGGTTCATATATGACTCTCAGTGGGTTCAGAGCGGTCGGATTCGACTGGGGAAACACACGCAAACACAAATCTGAGCAAACACACACATATAACAACCCTCAGATCACAAAAGAAGCCTAAGGCCTGAGAGGAGTTAGAGGATCTGCCGTAAATCCCTGCAAGGTGCTGGGTTGGAAAAGGGACAGGGATGAAAGGGGATGAGACAAGTCTCAGAGGAGCCAACAGGCATCTGATTTCTACAACACAAAGCATTCTTAAAGTAATTAAGTGTAGGACTCCCAGGTGACCAGTAGACTCCTGTTAGACAGTGTGCGTCTATCAGATGAGCTTTAGTGACAGTGAGGAAAAGATCCAATTTTTCTCTGAACAAGACAAAGGCTGAAGAAAATGCATATCCCTGAGATTTGCAGGGATTTTGACTGAAGCACAAAAGCAGTGCTGAGAGGTTTAGTGTGTGTGTGTGTGTGTGTGTGTGTGTGTGTGTATTAGAGAAAGAGAGGTTCAATGGGTGAAGTTAGCTGACGTCCACAGCAGCTTGTGTAAAGGTCCTGCTCATTTTCTGCAGTGTGAGGTGACCTGCAGTTGGAGCACGTGCATGAAATGTATGGACATGAATTAGTAAATGGACCTCACTACTTTTAAAGGGGTATACACCCATTTTTAAAATTCATACGTGTTATTCCTATGGTTTAAGACAGTATTGTCTCGCCTCTGAGCCAGGAACGGAGAAAGTAACAGCCCTGAAACGATGTCTGTATAAAATGTAACGCCAGAAAGGTGTGACCATGGATGGAATGATCGTGATGTATTGGTTATGTATGATGTTAGCGACCCACCACAGGAGATTTAAAAAGCAGCTGTTAGCTGTTAGCAGTTAGCAGCTGACTCAAAGGAGGAGAAAAGCAGCCATAAATGTCTGCAAATTGGTAAAAAATATGAGTTTCGGGAGCTCCTTACTCTCCGAGCAGAGGACGAAATCAGTTGCCATACAACAGGGGACGTAAAAGATTGTGAATTACAAGTTATGCCATTGTTGTTGTTAAGGTAACACTCCCAACACGTATCTTATATGTCACACTAGAGGCCAACGCTGTTGTGTTACATGTCAGGCCCATCTCTTTTGATTTGTGGGATACAGTGAATAATCACATACTGGAGTGGAATGATGCTGCCATCGTTTGGCTCTGTGTAAAAATGCAAGGGAGGCATAAAGACAGGACTTTTAAGCGGCTGTATAGAGCGATCTTAGTGTCAAAAGGGCTACTGAGAGCACCCAGGGGAATGTTATGAATATAGACCAAGTCACTGTGATGTCGGGCTAACAACAACAGTCACTTCTGGGTAGATTACTGGCAACTGATTTCAACTGGGGAGAAATGTAAAATCAGCAAACTTGTTTGTTTTTGTTGTAATTTTCAGCCGTAACTGTAATGTTAACGTAGTTAAACACGGTGGTCCAACCTATCTGAAGTTTCTGCTGTGTATATTTTAAGTACTGTGTTACTTTGCTACCGTCTTTGATAAAACAAATTTACCGACATGAAAGCTCAGCAGAGCACTGCTGTGGATGGGGTCTGAAGCAAAAACGTATTTTAGCCACTTAAAAAGAAAATCAAGAGCATTTAAAGTGTGTGCTATATTTAGAATATTTTATCCGCTTTACCTTACACACTAACCGATTGAGACAGCGGTAAAACAGCAACTCCCATGTTCTGCAAAGTAAAAATAGTGTTTTTGTTTTCTGGTGGCTTTGACATTAACGGCTTCAGTTCTTCGCCAAAAAGGGTTGTCTGAGTGACGATAAGGTAAAGTGTTGAAAATATTCTAAATACAGCGTACACTTGGGTTGCTTTCAGACCTAGAGTTGTCTTGCTTTTGTCTGAATCAGGGACTCATTTTGTTCCAAAGTTTTATAATCACCTAGAGTTGGTTCGTGTTCTCACGGCAGCATTTACAAGCAGACCAGATAAAATGCCTGCACGAGAAAGCTGCTCTTGATTGGTCAAAATTTCCACACAGGAAAAATCCAGGAAGTAAACAAAATGTTGAA